GAGACTCGGTGCACTCCAACCAACTGGCGTGCTGCAACTGTATGAACCCCACTTCGTGAAATGTTGCACAAAGGGCTCTTGTCGATTTGCTGGCCCGCCTTCACTTAGGGCGGGCACTAGGCTTGCTGGGGCCTTAGCCCAGAACATGTACATCATGGCAAGGCCCCTACTTGAGGGCTCAATCCTCACATTCCATCCCCCTTAGCTTCGGAAGTCCGCTGAGATGCTTACTTCCCTTTCAGTTTCTTCTCATAGTCTGCCACCACCTGAGGAGCTGTGTTAATCAGTTCCTCCCTGGTAAACCAACGATCTTCTTTTGGATTCGTGTGATGCCTAAATCTGACGCGGTACTCTCTCTTGGGCTTGGGAGGTCTTCCTCGGCCCAGCGGCTTTGGAACAGGCATGTCCCTGTGATCCACAATGTCGTCGATGTCAACTTGACCATCCATGGTTGGGGGCAGCATCGATCTCCTAGAAGGGAATTGATCTGTCTCAGCGAAAGGTGCAAGCTTTGAGGCATGAAAAACTGGGTGAGTGCGTAGATGACCAGGGACACGAATGACGTACGTAGGACCATCCATTGCATCTCCCACTACATCCAAGACTTCCCAGGGACCGAAGTATCGAGGCATTAGTTTACGAGACATTCCGAACTCCTATCCTAACTCACTAGCCTTGACCCAAACACGTTCCCCCACCTGAAATGTGGACTGTCTGTGATGTTGATTCTCATAAGCAATCATGGCTTGCTGACCTTTCTTCATATGTTCAACAGCCTCGCGCAGCAACTTCTCATATTGCACACCGTATTCAAGTGTGCCTGGAATTGCAGCAGGTCGGTTTTCAGGTAGGAGGAAGTCTAGTGCTGATCTAGGCTTCCATCCCAAGTGCAACTGGTTAGGACTAACGCCGGTACTACTATGAATAGCATTGTTGTACAAGCTGGCGATGAGAGGCAACTGCTCATCCCAATCATCTTGGCTGGGCTTGATGTAATGCCGCAGCAAGTGCTGTACCACTCTGTTCATTTGTTCGGCTTGTCCGTTGGCTTCGGGATGATTCCCTGAAGTCATTTGAAGTTGACTGCCCATCTGTTTTGCAGTCCTCTTCCACAGTTCACTTGTGAAGCGGGCGTCTCGGTCACTAATGATGGTCTTTGGTAAACCAAAGTCCCTTACCCAGTTGTCCTTGAACAACTTGATGACATACTCTGTCCTGGCTGTCTCTGGCATTGCTATTAGTCTAGCGTGCTTGGTGAATCTGTCAATGATGACGAAAATGTGCCTCTTACCACTCTTGCTCGTCACTAGGGTGTCCATGAAATCCATGGAAACACTCAATCCTGGACCATCAGGAATGGGTAAAGGATTCAATAACCCAAGCGGTGCTTGAGTTCGCGGCTTGTCCCGCTGACAGACCTGACAGGTCTCAACATACTTCTTTGCGTCATCTAACATTCTGGGCCACCAAAATCGCTGTACTAAATTTGCACTCGTCTTCTTGTAGCCAAAGTGCCCAGTTGCATCATGACATTCTCCCAAAAATAAACTACGCAACTGTTCACTAGAGGGAACTACCAATCTCTTTACTCCGGCCTTATCAAGATAGATTAGCCCATCCACCATCACAAACTCACTTTCTATGGCCTTGTAATGACCCGTCATCACACGGACTGTAACAGACAGCTGATTTCTGAATTTGCTCGTGGAATGCATGCCGTACTAAGTCCCCTGCCTGTTGAGTGGGTTGTGTTGGGTCTGAGTGCGTGCCTGTATGTGGTTGGCGTGCCTGGGTGATGAATGCGTGCCTGACTGAGTGCTTGAGTGTGTGTGTGACCCCGTCGGGGCCATGGATGTTGGGCAGGCCCGGTAGGGCCGGTACTTACC